GCACTCCCATAAGTGTTATCTAAAGACTAAAGCAGAAAGCAAATCGTGATCATTATAATAAATTTCTGGGGGTGGGGCTGAAAATTTGATTAGAATGTGTTGTCATGGCAACGAGTCTATGTGCCAAATCTAGCTCGATACGATGACGGGAAATGAGTCAATTAGCCTTCCGAAGATTTTGCCACGAAACAGAGGTTAATTTTTTTTTTTTTTTAAACCTATGGTATCGTTGTTATTTATTTCGTTATCGTTGGACTTGGACACATTTCCGTAAAATTGGATTAAAACAGATTTGGCAACTTACGGAACAAATGTTTATGATTTACTTGTATCGTCTAAATTGAATTTTTTTTAATGTCTTTTTTTTTTTTTTTTTGTATTGCAGTACAAGCCTAATGAACAGTCAACATAACAACCAAAATTGAATTTTTTTTAATTTTTTTTTTTTTTTTTTTTTTGTATTGCAGGTCAAGCCTAATGAACAGTCCACCTACCAACCGACCAACAGGAACTAACGACTACAGCCACCCAACTTACGCCACATAGTCAATGGACTCTCACAACACCGTTTTAACCATAGTAGAACCGTATCATCATACATCATATAACATTATATTTACAGTACAAAAGATTTCTATTACGGCATCTTAAGTAGGAAATTTGTAAATCAAGGTATGGGGGAAAACCTGGGGGAGGGGGGGGGGAACACCTGTCCGACACGTTGTCTTGTTGCTTCCTTTTTTTCAGGTTTCCCACTACCTTGTTTCCTTTCTACCTAATGCGGTTGCAGTCCCCCCTCCCACACCTCCATAATATCAGCATCTTAGTAACAGTGCTTATAGTTGGCAGTGACCTAGTTCCGGGACAATTCACTGAACATCATCGTAACTTCTTATAATTGCTATCATAAGTGGCTTATAATTATTACCTATGGTTTTATTTATTTATTTTTTTTTTCAAATCAAACTTCTGTGCTAAAATATTAAACAATGGCGTGGTAGTTTTTGTTGCTATCATTCATCAACAATGGCGTGGTAGTTTTTGTTACTATCATTCATCAACTCGATTAAAACCAGTTTATGTATCCAGTTGCTTGGGATGTCATATCAGTTGGCTTGTTCTTTTTTTAATGTTGGTCCATGATCAAGACATTTCATATTATCGTTTATTCTTTTCAACAACAAATGTTAGTTTCAGTTTGTTTCAGACAGTTGTATCGAACACGTTGTTTGCACACTTTGGCCTGTCTGTGGGGAAAAATCTGGCCTGTCTGTGTGTAAGGGGTGTGTGTGTGGGGGGG